GTTGAAAATATGAGAAAGAAAAATTTAAATTAAATTGAAGAGTTTTAAAGGGAGTCAAACGGTGACTATATCTTTTCCAAAAAAATTATTTTTCACAAAATTTGTTCTCACAAAATCTCTACATAAATAATTAAGTTTCTCCTCTTTATTTAAACTTTAAAGTAGTGGTTCAATATTAAACTTACTTCTTTATGTATTTTTTAATATTACTATGGTTATTAATTGAGTACAAGGACTTGTGAGCTTCACCTACTCTCCATGGACACACAAGTAGCACGTGAGGTCACTGTGGTGTACAGGCTCGAACCGGTTTTTAGTAGTTTATTTATTCAATTAAAATCAGAATTATAATTTGTTAGGAGTTCAGGAACAAAGAAAGAAATTTTGGTATATTATTTAGGTTTTATAATTTCCACTGCTACAACAGTATGATTTGGCTGGTTTACTATTAAATTTAATAATATTAAGAGGTTCCCCCGCGCCCCCCGGGATTTGAATTGGCATTAAATGAAATAAACTATTTTTCGCTGAGTTACGCTTCCCCGAATCAAATATTGTATTAAGGGCCGGTTTGATAAAATTTATTTGAAAATAATGAGTTATTGAATAATATTTTTTGAAGAATGTGTAGTTAAAAAGTAAACTCTCGTTTGGCCCCCATCAATTTCAATTTCATTTTCTCTCTTGTATTTTCAATCACGTAATCTTCCATAAAATAATGCTAAATGTAAAAAAAAAAAACTTTTTATTCTTTTTTAACCACTCATTTTTCAAAAATACACTAATCCACCCATTTTTATTTCCATAAAATGGGGGTCAAACGGGGGTTAAGAAAATTTTATTGGTTTGTGTGTAGAATATTTTATTATTTAAATATTTGGTAAAAAATGATACCGTAACAAACAATTTAGCTTTTAACGATGACAGACAGAGGCTAAGAATGGCTAGAATTTTAACAAAGCGTGTAGAAAAAAGGACTCATTTTGAAACTTAGCCTCTATTTGTCATTCTTTATTTTACATTCTTTTCCATAATTTTTTTACAATACTCATTTTTAATAACACATTTTTCATTAAAATAATATTATATGCAAATCCAAAAATTTTCCTTCTTTTTTAACTACATATTTTTCATCAATCACCATTTCATAATATATTTCTTCAAATTGATGGGGCTCAAATAGGGCCTTAAGTTATTGATAAAAAAATTAGGGAAAATTACATAAAATCAGGCATTTCAAAATTACAATTCAAAAATCAAATAATAAGTTTGTTTAATCACAAACTAGGTACCCATCTTATCCATTCAAATTCCAAACCCTAGATTTTCATTTTCACTTCATCTTCTATCCTTAGTCTCTCCACGCCTCAAGCACTGCCGCCCATTACCAGAGACCACAGTGAGTGATTACTTCCCCAATCTCGTCTCACTTTTCTCTCTCTCTCTCTCTAAAAACATGCAGTCATGTATATTCTATTCTTCCTAATTTCTCTTCTCTCAAGAGTAGCGACGCCGCCACTGGAAGAAGATCTTCCTAATTTCTCCTCTCAGCAGTAGCAGCTGTGTGAGCTGCAAATCTGCTCACTTTCTTTCTTTCTTTCTTTCTTTTTTTTTTAACTTTTGAGTGGTGGTGATTGATGGTTCGATGGTGGATGTGTACGGTGCGGTGGTGGTGTCAGGTGTGTGGTGCGGAAATTATATGCTATGGTGTCATGGTGGAGGTGCAGTGGTGGTATGGTGCGGTGGAGGTGGAGGTAGAGGTGTAGGTGTTCAATCGGTGGGTGTGACGATGGATTGCTGTTGGTAGTGTGAATGGTGTTGACTAATTTTCGTGTTGTGATAGGGATGGCTCTGGCAGTGGTGTTCAATGGTTGTGGTAGTGGTGGTGGTGGTGCAGTAGTAAGGGTAGATGACCTTGGTGGTTGTTACCGACCAATGTTGCTGTGATCAGTGATGGTCGTGGTGATGTTTTGCAGGGTGATAGTTTTTGTTGGTATAAATGGTGGTTGTGGTAGTGGTGGAGATGGTGAAGTGGTGATGACGTCGCAATGATGGCTTTTGTAGGGTGTTGATGGTTTTATATCTGATTTGTTTGTGGTGAGGTGGTGTTAGTTGCGGTATTGAGATGACGGGGTTGCTAGAGATGGTGGAGTTGGCAGCGACGATTTTGACGGCGATGTGGTTGGTGGTAGTGGTGAGATGGTTGTCACAAATGTTGGCGGTGGTCACAGATGATTTGATTGTCTGTAACTAAAAAATTGGCGTATGTGACCAACCATTTAATTATTTGTGACCATCTATTTATTGTGACCTAAAAATTTAATAATCTGTAACCAAGTAATTTGGACTTGAAGTAATCTGTGACCTGTAAATTTTTGATTTGTGACCTATAAATTTTTTGATTTGTGACTTCAAAATAATCTGTGACCAATTAATTAGATGATATGTGATTAGTAAATAAATCTGTAACCTATAATTGTGAATCTGTGACCATTTATCGTATAACTGTGACTTTATTACATTTAATTAATAAATATTTTTAATTAATTATATAGATACCTGGATTTTGATTTTTTAAACTCTGTACCTCATTTGTGAATTGGAATAAACAATACACTGAAATTATGATTTTTTCCCAAAAATTTATTTTATTTAATTTTAGTCTTCAACCATTATTCAGGTGGTGGTGGGCGTAGGCTTCTTTGATGGCTAGACCATGGACTTGCATCAGGCTAATAAGGCTGCTAATTCTTATGGGCCTACTGCAGTGAATGTGAACCTAATTGGGCCTCCTTTAAATTTTTGGGCTAGTGATCAAAATAGATGGCTCACGAGATCATCTAAATGGGCCCAATTCATAGGCCAACCAAAATGGGCCTAATTGTATAATAGGCCAACCCAGTGGGAAGCATTTTGTTCAGGCTAGGATGAGAACAATCCATTACTAAGTATGGCCCCATTCTTTCCAAATTTTAATAGTTGTTTTTTTGAAAAATATTTTGTTGAAAAATAATTAAAAGTTTTTGAGTTTCGTGTAATATCATTTTATAAAAGATTATGTGATTGAAAATAAAAGAGAAAAAAGAATGAGAAGGAGAATGGGGGTCAAACAGGGGTTAAGGTGAATGAGTCAAAGAATTTTCAAGAGGCTTTTTGTTTTCAAAAAGCATATTTTATAATTTAGTGAGTATTTATAAATTTAGAAAATATATTTTTAAGTGCTTCAACATGCTCTTTATAATTAATACTTGCTTTTACTATTTCTGAAAAATATTCATTTTTTTTCTCAATCTTTTATGTTTCATAGTTTCCCTCTAAATTCTTTTATAATTTTCTTCAATTGAAATTTGAAATGTTTTGAATGCATATAATTATATGATGTGAGTTTGATTATCTAAATTTGGAGAGTCAAACCAACTCTCTATTTTAAAATATTAATTTAAAAAATGACTTGGAGCATATTTAAGGGTTTAAAATAGAGCATATTTTATTTAAAAAGTCTCTCGAAAATCCTTTTAGTGTATGAAGTTGACACCAGTAATATGCTACTAACCTAATTAAAAGTATGGTCAAGAGATTCTTTAAACATAAAATATTATCTATTTTAAAGAGTCAAATATTAAAATTATGCTCTGAGAAACTCTTTAAATTAATATTTTAATTTTGAGAGTAGGTTTTGAAGAGCCAAAAATCATTTTCTAAAATTAAATGCAATCGAAATATTTTAAGTTTTAATGGAGAAAAAAATGATATAATAATTTAGAGGAAACTATGAAACATAAAAGATTGAGAAAAATAATAAATAATTTTTGAGAATTGTAAAATTAAGCATCAAATATAAAGAGTTCGTTGAAGTATTTAGCTCCCGTTTGGCCCCCATTATTTCAATTTATAGTTTTATCTCTCTTATTTTTAACCCCACAATCTTTCATAAAATAATATTACACATAAATTGAAAAGTTTTCTTTTTTATTTAACCACACATTTTCAAAAAGTACTATTCCAAAAATTATAAATTGAAATAATGGGGGCCAAAAAGGAGCTTAACAATTTTCCTCTCTAAATTGTAGAAAATGCTCTTTAAAAATAAAGAGTTTACTGGAGATGATCTAGTATTGAGAGAATGTAGTAAACGAGATAGAGTTTAGTACAGTGTACATTTGTACATTGAGTTTACTAAGGATGTGAGAAAATTGGCTTTAAAACTTGCAAAAATAACGGGAATATGACATATGTAACTTTCAATTCAGCCTATGTTTGGTTTTCATTTTTTTTTAAACTCATTTTTTTGGGAAAAAAAATTCAATTACACATCCTCCCATAAAATAATTTTAAACCTTGTTTGAGTCTCATTTTTTTCAAAATATATTTCTATCTATCTTATTTTCAAGTCCACATTTTCAATAAAATAATATTAAACCAAACCCAAAATTTTCCGTAATTTTTTGCCATACATTCCCTATCAAATCATTATTTTAAAATGCATTTTTTACAAAAATAGACATTGAACAGGCTCTTACACGCAAATTCAATTTTTATTTTTTAACCACATATGCTTTATTTAAAATGTATTTTGGTCCAAAAATGGGTCTCAATTTTAGAGTGGGGGACATATTTGGATATATAGACGAAGTAGCAAAAGAAAGATGTGACACTCCCATCGCTAATTTTCGACAATAATGCTTGGCGCATAGGGATAGGAACAGGGTTCGGACAGGGATTTAAAATTTTTCACGTGGCAACCTTTATTTTATTGCAAAACAAATAAAAGACAATAATTGGAATTTAAAAATAGTAATCATGTGACTCGATTTCTCTGAATGATCTTGCTAGTTGTACACTGAATTTGACATCCCGGTGTATCGACCCCCTCACAATAGGGGTGATCCACATTTTTTTTTTCGCAATAGACCCCCCTGTTGTGAAGGGTCGGTACACTGGGGTGTCAAACCCGGTGTACAATTATCAAAACGAAAACACCTCTTGTACCTTGCTGTGCATATCAATTCGAAATTACTGATGTGGCGAACCATTGGCGGGAAAAAATGGAGACCAAAGTGTACCGGGTCGGGTTTTAAGAAAATACGACTGCATCGGCTCAAGTCTAAATTCACGTGTAAACATATTTTTTACTGTGAACGCTCACGCCCAAACCGCACCCAACCCTTAGTTCGCGCCGAAAATGCTCCAACCCTCAATTGACGCCAACATTTCTCCACCCAAGCAACAACGCAGCCCCACTGTAATGTCCCAACTCAGGTGACGGCGTTGTCCCACAATCGGCTTCTGAATGAGCTGGATGGTGACGGTCTGCGACAGTAGTTTGTAGTACGGTTGGCTTTGCCTTCGTGGTTAAATGTTCGAAGGAATGATGGAGCTAGGTAAGATGCATTTGTGGTGGGTTTTTTGAGTGTATTCTTTGGTTACTCGACTGATTTACAGTCAATATGTTGAAAATGTGATATGGAATATCTCCTCATTTATGACTCAGGATGAAATTGCTGGGTTTATTCTGCTATTACATGTGTATTTCGATTGTCTTGATATGCTATTAGATGTGTATTTTACAATATCATATTGTTCTCACTTCAAATATGATTATTGAAATTTGGTTGTTTATTGGGTTTTGGTTCGAAGCTTTTTAGCATTTTTGGACCTAACTATTTGCATAGATTTCTGTCTACAATGTTGTGCATAATCAGAAATTAAGAAGAACAGATTTGGGACATCGTAGTATTGGAATTGCAGTTTGTAAAAAAATATGCTTGCTAACTATTAGAAGATATTTGTGAAATAGAAAATCCGTTAACATGTTAATTTGATTCTAGAGCTGATGATGCTCCGATTTATTGCATTGTAGGAGAAGAACCAATTCAAATATCGGACGACGAATTTCTTGTACAATCCAGTGATAGGGGTAATACCGAAAATGTAGTCACATTGGAAGATGATGTACTAGGAGAAGATGGTAGGGCTGTGTTGGAGATGGGAGGAGACGGTACAATTGTACTGGAGGTGGGTATGAAGTTTAAAAATGAAAACGAGGTGTATGAATTTTACAAGAAGTATGCGTATAATGTAGGGTTTCCAGTTAGGAAAAGGAATTCGAGGAGGGGGGATGATGGAGTAGTGAGATACATTACTTTGACGTGTTGTCGTGAAAGCCATAGAAGTAGTAATACAAGCAGTTCTTTGAAACCGCAACCAACAATTCAGACAGGTTGCAAAGCAAGGCTTACTGCTTCTTCAGATATCCGTGGAGTGTGGAGAATTTGCAGAGTGTGTCTCGAACACAATCATAAAACAAGTCTCTCAAAGTCGAGGTTGTATCGATGCAGTCGAGAGTTGAGTGCAAATGTTAAACGTAAGCTTGAAGTGAACGACATGGCTCGAATTCCTTTACACAAGAGTTTCAACTCTGCAGTTGTTGAAGCGGGTGGCTATGAGAATATGACCTACGTCGAAAAAGACTGTTGAAATTATGTTGAACAAATGAGATGTTTGAGACTAGGTGTAGGAGATGCCTCGACAATATAGTCATACTTTTCACAAATGCAGGCACGGTGCTCGGGATTTTACTTTTGTATCGACATGGACGAAGAGTTACGGCTGAAGAATGTGTTTTAGGCAGATAACAAATGTAGGCTAGCATATAAGGAGTTCGATGATGTAGTGACCTTCGATACGACATATCTGACTAATAAATACGACATGCATTTTACTCCTTTCGTCGGAGTAAATCATCACGGACAGTCAACACTTCTCGGATGTGGTTTGCTATCAAACGAAGATACTGATATATTTGTGTGGCTGTTCAGGACATGGTTGCAATGCATGATTGGTGAACCTCCGAATGAAATTATTATGGATCAAGATAAGGCTATGCAAAATGCAATTTGAGATTGTCTTTCCAAATACGAAGCATAGATTGTGTTTATGGCATATCATGAAAAAGTTACCCGAGAAGTTTGGGTACCGCATTGACAAAGGTGGAATATTTTCGTCCATACACGGATTAGTGTATGATACGCAGCGTGTGGATGAATTTAAAGTAGGTTGGGAAAATATGCTTGATACATATAACTTACATGATAACGAATGGTTATCGGTGTTGTACGAAAATAGGGCTCGTTGGGTGCCATGCTATTTGAAAACGACTTTCTGGGTAGGGATGTCAACAACACAACGCAGTGAAAGTATGAATGCATTTTTCGACAGGTATGTGCATTTGAAGACGTCCTTGAAGCAATTCGTTGAGCAATACGAACAGGCATTAAGTAGTAAAGTTGAAAAGGAATTCTAGGCAGATTTTAATTCTTTTTCGCAAATGGTGCCTTGTGCAACAAAGTATGAAATGGAAAAACAATTTCAAGCAGTTTATACGAGCTCAAAGTTTAGGGAATTTCAGGATGAGATAACTGGGAAGGTTTATTATGATGTCGTATCTGCAGTTGATAACCTTACGGAGAGGATGTATGAGGTTGAGGAGGATGTCATTACTGGAGAAACGGTGAGGAAGAGAAAGTGTTCTGTCACATTTTGTGCAGACGGGTGCGATGTTGTTTGCAGTTGTCACCTATTTGAGTTCCGTGGAATTTTGTGCAGACATGCCATATCGGTGTTGATGCGTAACAACGTCACATCATTATCGGATAGGTACATATTGAGGAGATGGAGAAGAGACATCAGTAGAGCCCATACGAGGGTCACTGTGAACTATGATAGTCTGCTTAGCACTCCTAGCCAGTTGAGATATGGTAGAATGTGTGAATTGTTCGCTACATTGGCCAATATTGCCATAGATGATGGAGATTGAACTCGTGCAATCATAGAGTGGATTGAAACGCAAGCTAAAGACATAGAGTCCACAAAGTCCGGTTGCGAAAGTAACAGCATTTCCCAGCCTAGTCTTCATTTAGGGTCACAATCGAGAGCATCGCAAGATATGAGCAGCGGGGCCATACAAGATCCTAAATGTTCGAAAAGGATAAGGGCGCCCAAGAAATTATGTGTTAAAGGTGCATTGGAGTCGGGCTCCAAGAACGCAAGGGTAAATTTAATTGAACACTATTTTCTCATTCGCGTCCCCTTGTTATATGTACTAATTCAGCTTTGCACATTATTTCCTTATCTTGTAGGCGAGATCGCGAGGGATAAAGAACAATGTTCAACCTGGTGCACCTTCCATTCCATGCCCGTCGCAAGTACAGTATTTGATGCCGTCGCCATTTCCGTATTCACAGGTTACAGTTGCAAAGTTCGTTTATCATATTTACCAAATTACAGGCATGATTTGTATTCGTTTCTTCATGTCGTGCAGGGCGAAGGGGAAAGTAACGCACTACCATACCAATTGCTGTCTTCGCATGTCAGTTCCATGTCGAGTTCAAATCCTTTACCTATTTGGCAAGGTAATTATATGATTTCGAATGTATCTTTTATTGTAGTGGCAAAAGTATATTTTGTTGGATCAAAAAAATTCTTGGCCCTTGTTTTTATGTTCTAATTTTGGATTAAGGAGGCTGGGCATAAGATTTTTTTTTCGAAATACAATTTGTTGCCATTGGACAATATTATTAGCCCATTGCATTTTCATACCCACTCGTAATTATAAAGTGTGCTCGGGCTGCTGTTTCCATTTGATTCGATTGGACATTGATTACGGTTGCTGGAATTTATTCATGCTTCTAGATTTATTTTTCATCCATCAAGTTTACAAGACATTTAGCCAAGGCAATGAATTAGGAAGAGAGTCCTTTGTTTGTTATGGAAATAGGTATCTTTTAAAATTCTGGACGAATCCGTTTCATGGCCTTCGATTGATAATCGTTGAGATATGTTTGTATACTATAGCCCCTGTTTACAACCATTAAGGCCTTCACACAGCACACTTACACATTAATATCTTGCACTTTTCATGTTTATTTCAGGCAATATGCAGCCCTACTACCATCTCGATTTTCTACACATGGGGGTCGTTGACAATTTACTGAGACCGTCCTCAACCGGTATTTTCCCGCGAGGATTTTACACTGTAAGCTACGCAATCTTTTTACTATATAACTGTGTACTTTATGTTTCTTGTCCAACTAACGTCCGGTAGTATTATTAATTACCTATTCTAGTTGTCGCCTCCTCCAAGTGCTATGGCGGGTTGGATGTCGAGTGCCACATACTCCGTTCCTCAAGTTGGTGTTGATGGAGGCCCTTCAAGTGTTGTTGACATGCCAAGCTCTAGAATGCCGTATATAGTGGCGCTCAATCCATGGGTTGCACCTCCATAGGGTGTTCGACTCTACCTCATGAGAACAAGTAAAATCCCTGCTCATTTAGGCGTGTTTTTACTAGTCTATTATGTGGAGACCTACTAGTATTACTCATTTTTTGAAATGACGACATTGTCCTGGGGTGTATAGACTTATTTTGGGCTACTAATGCAACGGTAGAAGGGAAAAGTGGTGAATTGTGGTTTTTGTACATTCAAGTGACATACTCATTTCCTGATTTCTTTATCCCATTCCTCTTTCTTTAGATTTGATAAATGATTATCTGTTCATGATTCCAGATACGCACTATTACGAGCATTCTGAATTTGATGTTTATGTTGGAATGCTGCCTCAGGTGAATGACATATTTTCACAAGCTGCAAGGTGGTCTTCATGATATAGTTATGTATCATACATATTCTTCAAGTGCAAGGAATCAAGTTGGTTACCTGCCAGGAATCTATTGTTACATCTGCCAGGAATATGTATCACACATATTCTTCAAGCGTAGGAATATTTTGCTTGTTAGTATCGCCATGAAACCCAAATCTCCAGCCTGGTTGGGATTTGTTGGGAGGGGGGATGTTGGCGACCTTCCATAGTACTTAAGATGGGAGAATTTTACTAGGTCGCACTTTTCAACAGTTTTTCTTGTTCACTGGGACAGCTCAATTGTCTATCCTCAGCGATGAAAAAACATTCTTATTCTTGCAGTTGAATGGATAACAGTTTTGTGAAACATACCAGCAGATCATCTTAATTAATTATCGAATTTAGAAAGTGGATCCTAAACAGAAGAAAGAGCTGGTTCTACTTTAAACTATTTTTTATACTTGCATTGCCAGATTTCCATGCTATTTTACTTGGTTGATGTATTAATCAGCTTTCTCAAACTTTTCAGTGACAACACAATTTGCCTGATGATGTTGAAGGACCCAAGAGAACCTGTATTAGTTCAGGAAGAGCATTGACTGATTCATATACTAAGATGCATGTGAAAAAATATAGTATTAAAATGTTTTGAGCTATATCTTTCACATTCTGTGTTCTAAATTACTCTATGCTTGCAGGAAATCCAGCAGCCTCGTAAAGATCAAGTAAATGAACCTGCTTCTGCCAAAGGCGGAGTCACCTGATGAGGGTTGTATAGGCTAAACATATTGAATTTCTATTATTGTAGTACATTGAAATCCGGAATCAAGCTATTTTGCCCATGTGTCCTTTGTCATGTATTAGTATAATATCTGCTTGTGTTGTGAGGATACATCGATGTAATTTTGAGTTGGAAATGATTGCAGCCATTCGGTTATTTATACAGGAAAAGGAATTGTCGTTTGTTACTATATTTAGTGTTTACATTTGTTTTTCTTGGTATGGTATGCGTGTACTTATATAGGTTTTCTCCAAATGCATCTAGATGCTTTCCAGAATTAGTTCTTGTACACAAAAAACTTGGGAACACACACTGCACTTCCGGTTAAAGGAGATCAATGCTCAGCTTGTGAAGTGAACGTGTTTTTTGGAGTTTTTGTTCACCTTGTTTTATTGTGTTCGTGGCTTGACGCCTTCTTTGTACCAGTGGTTCATTTTCCAATTTAAGAACGACCCATCAACGAAAGTTTAATAGTACAAACCGCAAAAACTTCAGGATAATTCAAGGCGAACGACTAGTAAAAAAAAGGACCACAATAACATAGTTGCGTACCATTTCTACATGCATCACTACAAACAGTTAAGACACTTTCACTTTTTAGTCCTAAACGATCTCCACATACAAACCGTCGGATCACCATCCCAACACAACGACTTTCACATTTCATTTTCTGAAACTTGTTTTCCTTTGCGCATGTTTATTTGGAGTAAAATCTCTAGGTCTTTCTCCTCGCTTAGCATAGCGAGTGTTTTCAACATATGCGACAAAGTATCCGCTTCTTCACTTGGAGTTGTGATGCAACTTGATTCACCATCATCATGCAACAGACACTTTTCCTTGGGGAATTTATTGCACCACTTGAAGTACTTACAGTCACAGGTACAACAATCCTTTATGGTCATTATTCTTTTCGACCTCCATCCTCTTAACGAACCCGTCACCACAATTTGGGCATCTTCTCTTTGTCGGGCATTCTAGCAACGTATGTCCCCTCTGTCGACAACAATGACATATTCCCCTATTCTTGCCTGCCGTCGAATTTCTCTAATTCAACCACATGAAACAACCACACCAACATGTAACCATATTACTATCTTTAGCAATCTGCGTAAAGCATAATAAGTTTACTAAGAATTCCTTAAAGCATAAAACCATGAAACTGAAATTGTCTTGGCGACAGTATGTAAAATCAAATGACAGAAGCACAAAACCATGAAACTGAATTGTCTTTCGTTTTCTCCTTTCGAAATGTAAGACCATTTCATTTTAATTGTCTTTGGTTCATATTTTGTTCAATCTCGTTAAGTGCATTATCAAACGTGTGTCATAATAGATTGACTGTAATACAATACAAAAGCTCAAATCTTATGGCTGTTGCAAAATGAAGCATAAATCAAATGTTAACAATCCCATCTGACCAAGAAATTATGTTATATTAAATTATTCATACCATGACATAATTTTTTTCTCCAAACTTGATTCAGCAAACATTTTGACATAATACCCGACTTTCATCTTCATCCCAATACAAATCTTAGTTGTGGATTAAATCCTGACATATTCAATTGACAGGAGCAGAAACTGAAATTAAAGAAGCTTTCTACTCCCATTTTCTTCTTTTCCGCAGTAACAAATCAAAACGAAAACATAACCTCTATTAATTTTGTTTCTGTCCAAATTAAGTAGAGCTAAAAGTATATAAAAACCTAATTTCTACTCCCCCAAAATGAAGTAGAGCCAAAACTCAGAAACATTATCTCAAGCACAGGAAATGTTTATCCCTATAAAACATGACTTGCCAAATAAAATTAAAAAAATAAAATATAACCACCCAACTAATAACAACGAAAACGCCTCTGCATATCCCCCCTCCGATTCCAAACCTCTGCATTTTCTCCCCTCCGATTCGACTCACAGATAAATCGGACATCCAGTTCACATCGAACAACAAATGGAGAAATAGACACCGACTCGTTGGAAATATGATTACACAAGCGTCAATGGATGTAGTCTATATATGATTACAAGAACTACTTTTACCATTTTGCCCGCGACCGGAGCTGGCAATTTTTCAGGTTGTCGCCTCGATTTACAGTTGGCTCTACCTTCTTCTTCGTCAATGGATGTCATCCGGATTTCTGGTCGGTTGTGTGTTACTCGTCGTGGGTAGGAGAGAGATTCAATTTGGGGAACAAGTTGTAAATGACAGAGGAGAGAGGAGAGACAAATTGATTTGGGGATGAAATGAATGAAGGAAGAAAATGAGAATAATTGAGGCATTATTCAGCCGAGTATTTAAAAACAATGTTTTCATTTTTTTTCTCATTTTCCAGGTCAGCACTGTACACAAAGCTGTGTACAGTGCTGTACATGTAGCGGGACCGTTATCAAAATCCTTCTTTGAAATACTAGAAACCACACCTATTTCGACAGCTCAAAAAGGGTTTTCTCCCCTCCTCTCCATGCCCGTCCGTCCCTCGGTCAGAGTGTAGCACTTCCACCATCACTCCTCAACATTTTCGAGTCGAAGTGCTTTCTCCCCTCCTCTCCAAGCCTGGTCGTCCCTCAGTCAGAGTGCAACACTTCCACCATCACTCATCAACATTTTCGACCACACTACCAGTATTGTTCATGTATGTAAAATAACCCAAACATCTCAATTTTTGTGTACTTTTGCCAATTTGTGTCCAGCTTAAATTATAAGAGACTTGAAGATTTGGGGAAATATGTGCTGGGGTTGTTTTAATTGAGTGTTTAGACAAGAATTTGACAACTTGCTTCACGGTTTAGGAACTTAGACCGCGCTTGCTTCTCGACTTTTGTTGTGGATGGGAAAATGGAATTTTGGGATGAATTGACTAGATTAGGATGCGATTTGCTGCTTTTGAATTTAATCGGCAGATTTTGAGCCTGAACTAATCTGTTCTAAAAGTGATTTTCACTGGGTTTAATTTTTTGATTTTTTGCGACTAAATTCCAATTTTTTTTAATTGAACCAGTAAATCCGATCTACTTTATCATCTCGAACATGCCTTCACCACCTAGTCAGCGTCTTTCCCTTAATTATCATTAATTAATATCAAATTGACTTGTCAACAGTCTCATTTTTTTTTTTTATCTTATTCATTAATTTTAGCTTAATCGCACATCCATGAAACCAACTCTGTGTAAATGAGTACTGATAGTTGTAAGTATTTCTAACGCTGGGTTTTAGACTCCTCATTCGGATTTGGCGATCTTTATAGGATCTTAAAGTTGTAGAATCTTACGATTCATTGTGGATTTTAACGAAGTGAATTGAGAAGGGAAGTGGTCAACCTGATTAGTAGCTATTAATCGATGTAGTGGCTAGTGCATAATCTTTTGTATGAGGTCAAAATATTTTCAGCTAAGATATGTAAATTATGTTTGTAAACTGCGATTGCATCTATGAGATTAGTCTCAAAGTGCTATCCTTTTTGTATAATCTTGGGAAAATCTACCTTGTAGTTTATCTATTTGTGCTTTCTATATCCATTTTACAGGATAGATTAAATGCAATAACGTTTCTCGCATGCTAAAAGAAGCAACTTCAATTGGAATACCACTTTGAAGGAATCTTATTTAGTAGTTAAGTGATCTCACTAAATTTTCGTTTTATGGATCACCTTTAATGACTAAGATAAGTCACGTTATCTAACGGAGGCAGAGATACTATAATCTCTAAATTATGTTCTACATTTTCAATAACCAACCGCATTTAAAACTCAATCATATGCACAAGATTTTTTTTCCTTTAATCTAGAGGGCTCTTTTTCTAGATTATCATGTCCACTATTGTTTAGTCCAAAATTTGTGTACATCAATTTCTTAATAATCATGAGAATCAAATGTGTACATTAATCTTATTATTCACTTGTGAAATGCAATTCATACAACCTCACTTGACTGCTTTATAGTTGTTGTCGATTTTATCTCGCAAGTGGACGGATCGTAATAAATAGTAAAGTGAACTTTTTTTGTCCGAATTATCGTTCCCACGGAGGCAATTTTCTAGCACTTAACTCAATTTTTTTTCTTTAACTACATTTGATGAAAACAGATTAAAAGTTGTATGATTTGAGTTTTAATCTAAATTCTAGAAAATAAATGAATGCTCACACATTTTTTTTTGTAAAATCAAATAATTAAAGGACGTTAGGGCAGAATAATTCCACCCATTGATCACCTTTACATCTCAAATTAAGACTCAATTCTAATGTAGTGTTCGGTCGAATTCCCCTATTGTATTCTATTTACCCCTCTTGAGTTCTCATTGAGCCTATTTAACTAGTTAAATTTCATATCTTTATGCAAATTTAACTTAGTTACACAATTTCTTTGTCCTTGGAATTCAATTATGACCGCAATAAATGACATAGGTATCTCTACTCGTTATACCAATGTAATGAATTTTACTACATGGTCTAAATCCTAAACTCATATCTCTATTCGTAAAGGATTCACAAAATTCATCAAATTATTGATCAGATAATTTAATGCAATCAATCCATAGCAAAAATCAACACATGGAAGAATTAAAAACCAAGAATTTTTATAAGAAAATATAATGGATCTCAAATGGGTTACATTATTCACCCTAACAATGGATTTAGCTACGCATAATAAAGGAAGAGCAACAACAAATTATCTTAAAATACATCACCGGATTTTGAATAAGAGTATGTAGAAAAAAAAGTGGATCTTGCACCAAGAGTTCCTCCTTCTTCCAATTTATGCTTCAGACGATGAATTTAGCGTTGTCTTCTCCCTTTGAATCTCTCTCCCTTTCTCTCAAGAAGTGTTTTTGCCTTTAGAATGTGTGGAACCCCCTTAAAGTGAGAGGAATTTCGTATTTATAGGTCACTTTCCGTTGGAAGAATAGGGTTTTCATATGGACTCAAAAAGGGCCAAAATTGCGCACTAACGCATATGGGATGCGGCATCACAGCGTCGCGTCAAAAAGTAGGTGGTGGCGCTGCAGCGCACCGTGCCACCTCTCTGAATCTCCCGGCGCCACTTTTCAAACAGACAACATGCACCTTTTTCAGTATTTTTAGTATAACGTTCTCTCCCGATATCCAATTGAGGCAATTCAAGATGTGTTGGAAAGCTAACTCAAAGAGTTACAACTTTGCTTCGAACATCATTCTCCGATTAGATCGTTTTCCATGTCAAAAAAGGTCTTAATGTGAGTTTGAAATTTTGGAGCATAGCTTTTCGATTGAAAAATGATTTGTGATCATATTTGCCTAAATTTGATCCCTTTGATATCTTTCTTTATCCAATTAACTCCTAACGCTCTCAAATCTTCATCTTGAGGTTTGACGCAGCTTTTGAATATTTGCACTTTAGTCCCCGAACTTTGGATTTCATATGATTTAGCTATTTTTTCCAATTTTGCCTACTTTTGCTTCTTTCCTTCATAAAATTTTACCTATTAAACATAAAATACAAACATTTAGGATATAATTTGTTGAAAGAACCATCAAATATCGCTATTTAAGGTACTGAATAAGTGAATAAAATGCACTTATCAAATACTCCCAAACTTAAATATTTGTTTGTCCTCAAACAAAACTATAGACTAAATAACAGTAAACACACAATCATGAAAAAATATTTGGTTGGAAAATCTAGCTTTTCACCTCAGGATTCAAGATTTATGTGTTAATTCCACAAACGTGCTTCAAAGTTACTACACCAAACTAATATTCACTCTTCCAATGCAAAATCGACGTGTGTGCATGAAGAATTAAGTAGACATTAATAAATTTACTAGTTGTTCCAATTCCCGACCCTTAATGGTCATTTATGTCCTTTCATCACTCGTAAGATTCACACATCCCCAAGCTTGTTGTTTTTCACTCCTTCCCAATGTGTAATCTAAGGTTGAATATTTCATTATTATCCCCACCCTCTCGAGTTTAGGTGAACATTACTAGTTGCAAGTCAACACTTCAATGAACAGGGATTCTCCAATTATTTGATTGCTTCGACTGCCACAACTCAACTAGCTAATTATCCTTCATCTAAAGTCAAATTTCCTCAAATAAGTGTTGGGCTTAACCAATGTATTTAGTATTTTTGCTCTTTTCATGTACTTGCTTTTTTTTTCACAATTATTTATTTATTTGCATTCTCTCCATTCAACTTTCTAGATAACCCTTGTAGCAGGCTTTGGGCCGATGACTCCCAAATAAAATGATTTTAGGACACCAGGTTTTAAACATCCTTACAGACTTACTGACTTGAGTCAAAAAGCTTCGAAGAGAACCAATTTTTATTTTAAGTGCAGCTTAATCTTTTATTGCCTTCTAAATGATCCATGTAGCGATTTTTAGGCCGATGACTCCCAAATCAGACGACTTTAGGGCGCCAGGTTTTAAGATACCCTTGCAATCTTAATTACTTGAGTCATGAAGATTTCAAAAAGAAGTTTTTAGATTTCAAATGTATATGCCTTAATTAGTGCAATGCCCATTTTACACACTTATTCAAATAAACTGACCTTCAACTTAAGACTTTCGTCTCGTTTTATCATGCTAGTCTAAGAAAATCTACACATGAATTTTCACACATAGAATCTACATTCACATCCCCATCTTCCTATAACTGTAAAATCACCCCCAAACTGTGCTAAATTTCGTCTAAGGATAGGTAATTTATTATGGTTCAGGTCAAACATTTATATCCAATTAAATCAACCTATCTAACAAATGAATCAACTCGTTTCATCACAGTGTCAGACTCAGTTCTAGTGCATGTATAATATCAAGTTTTGCAAGGTTAAGTTTCAATCAATCTAGCATGCATCCTATATACAGTTTATAAATCAACACCAAATTTCAAAGTAAAATGTAATTGTAAGTCAAAATGTCCAACTCACTCAAAAAAATTTAAGTGGGCAATTAGGCAATTAATAATACACCCCCAAACTTAAACTAAACATCGTCCTCAATGTGAAATTTAAAGGAAAATGAGGAGGCTTCCCTAAAATGTTCGTATTGCCTATGATGTTGTGGTGCCTTGGTGTTGCATTTGATGGACTCTTCTTCCACATTCTCCCGCAAACTTGAGATTTGTCCCATTTTCTTCATGTATATGCTGGTTTGAGTGTTCCGTGACGTCATATTCCTGAAAAATTAAATTTGAAAAAATTAAACTCATGAAACATGAGTTACTTAGCTCAAACATCTAATAATCGACTTAATTACTTAAAGATCTATGAGTAAAAAGGGGTATGGATGATGATTCCTGAATAAACTATAAATTAAACTATCATAGAACTTTGAAAAAAAAAATAAAATAAAATAAAAGTTTGGATTGCCTCCCAAGAAGCGCTTCTTTTAAATTATTAGCTTGACTTGAACCGCTGATTTATCATGGTGGCTTAAACCAAGTTATTCCATCATTACACTTTGTGCAATTTTCATTTATGCAGCCCTTTTTTGCTTTTCAGATTTTGATTTGTCTATTCTCATCTCTACCAAGAAGTTCCCCAAATTTTGGTTTTTTTTTTCTGATAGCTTCGTTGATCGGGTGGCTCTTCTTTATCAATTCTACAACTATCATTTTTATTGGGAGGTTTCTCATATTGGGTGTAAATATTGAATATCTTCTGCTTGTCCTCCATCCTCAAGATTAGTTCTCCCTTCTCCATGTCAATAAGGGTTCGTCCCGTTGCTAAGAATGGCCGACCCAATATAATTGGAAAGTCTTGATCTTCTGGTATGTCCAATACAATGAAATCCACAGGAAATATTAAATTTCCTACTTTTACTAGTACATCCTCAACTTTGTCATGTGGTCTTGCGATTATTTTATCAGCTAGTTGTAGCGTTATTGATGTTGAGTTGACTTCACCTAGTACCAATTTCCTGTAAGTAGAATACGACATTAGATTGATATTAGCACCGGTATCACACAATGCATTAATTGAACATGAATTTCCAATTGAAATGGGTAAGGTAAAACTCCTTGGATCCTTCAATTTAGGAGGCAATTTTCTCTGGACTCTTGCACTACTTTCCTTAGTTAATGCCATAGTTTCAAACTCCGGAAACTTTCTTTTCTTTGTCAACATCTCTCTCAAAAACTTTGTGTAGCTTGGAATTTGCAGTATCGTATCAGTGAACGAAACATTGATCTGGAGCTTCTTAAGAACATCGAAGAATTTCTCATAATTTGTGTCTTGTTTGTTCTTCTTGAGATTTTGAGGAAAAGGAATGAGAGGCATGTAAGCTTTGTCTAGACTTGGTGTTTTGACAGCTGATGTTTCTGTACTTTCTCCATTTTCAGTTGCGTTTGGTGCAAATTTTTCTACCCTTGTAGTTTCATCAATCACTTCCTGGTCATATTTTCTTTTAGGTCTCTTTGTAGTGATCTTTGGCGATTGTACCTCGATCTTTGTATTTATGACATGAATATTTTGCTCCATCAACTTCTTTCGAAGTTTTTGGGAAAACGGAAGTGGAGGTATATACACTTTAACTTTCACGGGGGCCCTGGGTAGACAGTTCTCCACTATTTTAATTGCCATCACCCGTTCCTTAGGATTTATCATTGTATTGCCTGGCAAAGTCCCTTGTAGATGTTCTGCAAGTTGTTGCGCTATCTGATCAATTTGTGTCTCAAGTTTCTTGATAGATGCTGTTGATTTGAAAGTTCGTGTTAATTTGCTGCAACATCTTGTCCACCTTCTGCACATATTGTTGAAACATCTCCCCCAAACTTGGTATTCTTTCTTGCTGGAAATTGTTTCCATATGAGTTGAAATTATGGGAGCTATTTTGAATAAATTTTACTTGTTCCTATGAAGAAGTGAGCATCGTGCAGCTCTCTGTAGCGTGATTTCTCCCACAATTCTCACATGTTGAAATGGCCATTATTGCATTTGCTTCATGTGTTTGCAATTTTACAAGTAACTCTACCTGTTTTGTTAAAGCTGCTAGCTGTGCATTAGCAGAAGTTGTGCTATTTTATTCATACATTCCTGCTGCCTTTGGTGGTACCACTCTTTCTGATGAGAACATTGAATGTGTGGTGGCAATTAACTCAAATAGATCCATGGTTTGTTGCACTGATTTCCCTATGATTGATCCATTAGCAGAGGCATCAACTTGAGATTTTGACAGTGGTGTAAGTCTGGTATAGAAGTACTGCACTTGGTTTCCTAGAGTGATTCCATGGTTTGGACATTTTCTCATTAGCTCATTAAATATATTCCATATCTCGTGATAGCTTTCTCCCTCTTCCTGTTGAAATGTTTGAATTTCCAATCTGATCTTAGCTACTCTAGTCGGTGGGAAGCATTTGTTGCAGAATTTTCTGGTCAGTTCTTCCCATGTAGTAATGCTCCCATGAGGCTCCACATCTAACTACTTCAATGCAACATCTCTCAATATAAATGAAAATAATCGTAGTTTAATAGCATCTTCATTGACACCCGAAGTATGGAAGTTCTGACAGTTCTTGAGAAATCTGGAGATATGAGTGTTTGGATTTTCATGAGGTAACCCGTAGAATTGGATAGTATTGCTCATCAAGTTAATCCAATCTGGCCTGATCTGAAAGTTATTCACCCCAAAATCTGAATACACGATACTGAAGCGCTTGGGTGCTACTATAGGTGTCAGGCAAATTGATACTGGCAAATCACCTTCATTTGTTTTCCTTCGTTCATGCTGCTGTTCCGGTGGTGCCACTACTCTTGCGGTCATTTGTCCAATCGGCTGAATAGGGATAGAGATTTATTGATTGTCAGCCATTTAATGTTGCTGTTTTTGTTTGTATTCTTTGCGTCTTCGTCTGAAGGTACATTCTATCTTCGAATCAAATGGTTCAAGATCATTACCTTGGGCACAGAGCATACAATGAACACAGTTTTCTTTAAATAAAAAAAAATAAACAAATAAAATAATAGTTAAAAATAAAAAAAAATAAATTAAGACTAAAAGTAATAGTTCTCGACAACGGCGCCAAAAACTTGTTGTCAATTTTATTCCGCAAATCGTAATAAGTAGTAAAGTGGACCTTTTAAGTCCGAATTATCATTCCCACGGGGATTACTTTCTAGCACTTAATTCATTTTTTTTCTTTAACTACTATTTGATGGAAACAGATTAAAAGTTATATGATTTGAGTTTTAATCTAAATTCTAGAAAATAAATGAATGTTCACACATTTTTTTTTTTGTAAAATCAAATAATTAAAGGACGTTATGGCAGAATAATTTCACCTATTGATCACCTTTACATTTCAAATTAAGACTCAATTCTAATGTAGTGTTCGATCGAATTCTCCTATTATATTCAATTTACCCCTCTTTAGTTCTCATTGAGTCTATTCAACTAATTAAATTTCATATCTCTATGCTAATTTAACTTAGTTACACGATTTCTTTGTCCTAGGAAATCAATTATGACCGCAATAAAGGACATAGGTATCTCTACTCGTTATACCAATGTAATGAATTTTACTACAGGTCTAAATCCTAAACTCATATCTCTATTTGTAAAGGATTCACAAAATTCATCAAATTATTGATCAGATAATTTAATGCACTCAATTCATAGCAAAAATTAACACATGGAAGCATTAAAAACCAAGAATCTTAATAGGAAAATATAAAGGATCTCAAATGGGTTACATTAGTTACCCTAACAATGGTTTTAGCTACGCATAATAAAGGAAGAGCAACAATAAATTGTCTTATAATACATCACCGGATTTTGAATAAGAGTACGTAGAAGAAAAAGTGGATCTTGCACCAAGAGTTCCTCCTTCTTCCAATTTATGCTTCACACGATGAATTTAGCGTTGTCTTCTCCCTTTGAATCTCTCCTCCTTTCTCTCAAGAAGTGTTTTTGCCTTTGAAATGTGTGGAACTCCCTTAAAGTGTGAGAAATTTCGTATTTATAGGTCCCTTTCCGTTGGAAGAATAGGGTTTTCATATGGACTCAAAAAGGGCCGAAATTGCGCCCTAACGCATCTGGGATGCAGCGCCTAGAATGCGGCGTCATAGTGCCGCGTCAAAAAATAGGTGGTGGCGCCTTTCTCAGGCGTCGTGGCGCCACTTTTCAAACAGACAGAATGCACATCTTTTAGTATTTTTAGTATAACTTTCTCTCTCGATATCCAATTGAGACAATTCAGATACGTTGGAAAGATAACTCAAAGGGCTACAAATTTGCTTTAGACATCATTCTCCAATTCGATCGTTTTCCATGTCAAAACAGGTCTTAATGTAAGCATGAAATTCTGGGGCATAGCTTTTCGATTGGAAATTGATTTGTGATCATATTTTGCCTAAATTTGGTCCCTTTGACATCTTTCTTTATCCAATTGACTCCTAACGCTCTCGGATCTTCATCTTGAGGTTCGACACAACTTTTGAATATTTTCACTTTAGTCTCCGAACTTTGGATTTCATACGATTTAGCATTTTTCTCCAATTTTGCCTACTTTTACTTATTTCCTTCCTAAAATTTATCTATTAAACATAAAATACAAACATTTAGGATATAATTTGTCGAAAGAACCATCAAATATCGTTATTTAAGGTACTAAATAAGTAAATAAAATACACTTATCAATAGTTTGGTCCATAATTGACAACATAAAATACATTTCTGTCAAGGCTAATGAAAAAAGCAGCACATAATAAAAAGCATTAAAAGGGTGGCCAAAACTGAATTACACCGAACTACACGAACTTTTAGAAATATTTTGCCAAAAAAATTTAGTTCGAGAAAAATAGAGATTGCATTTGGAAATTGTATACTCAAAGATTGCCAACGCACAACATGTCTCCCTAAATGGATAAGCAATTGTAAAACCAAAAAGAGAAGTCAATATTACAATTCCTTCTCTTCATTGGAAAACCGACGCCATAAGCATATTTTTCTTAGAAGTCAAACATTACTGTTAGATCCTTAAATTTACATTCCTACCGCGGGCACAATCACTCCATCTCCCACTGAGGTTACACCTTCCACTATGTTAACAGAGTTCGTGATGTTCTCGTCGTCGGATTTTGTAGTAATATCAACATGCTCATTTTGCACTTCGTCCATAATTTCGACAATACTGCAGTAGGTAACATACATTTAAGAATCCATAATAACACAGCGATGGTAATTGCAGGAAAACAAATGAAATTTTTATTTCGTTTCCCCCCAACTCCGTTAATAGAAAATGCCAACAATTAATTTTTACTGGAAATTAATTCTTGGTTAGGAATTCTCTAAAGATCACACTAAAATTAATTCTTGGTTAGGAATCCAATATCTCTTTACTGGAAAAAGAGCTTTTGTTGTTTTTAATTGATTGATTACCTTTATACATCTTTTACCTATCCCTAAAGAAAGAAAAGATCATTGTAAATTTGAATATCACTTTGCAATCGCAATTGATTCTAACAGTCGAAACCCATCTTCTCCAAAACTAAAATACCTAATATACAAGTTTAATTTTAAACATTCCTCCTTTTTTCCCATATTTTAACATATTGAAAACAGAAAAATAAAAATAAATCATTTTATTCTATAAATGACACGTTATTTTAGGAGATGGATAAAGATCTCGTTCTTAACAAGGGTACCTTAATGTTGGTCGGAGGAGAAGCACATGTTGGTCGGAATTTCAGAACGTGTTCAAAGGAGCATGATAAGTATGTTTTTACACACTTATTTGGTTCACAAACATGACTTAAACATGGATAAAATGGTTGAATTGTGGCTTAATCATATTAAATTCATGCAATGTAGGTATTTCAATGGAAATTGTGGAATTCAGGAGAAAAGAGCCGAAGAAGGACCAAAACGCAACAAAGTGATAGTTTGAGGACCAAATGTGCAAATATTGAGAAGTTGAGCTAAATGCAAAACGAGAGTAAAAACATGCCAAGTATGAGCTCAATGACAAAGCAAAACAATTGGAAGAAGAAAGTATCGAAGAGGGACTGAAATGAAGACAATTGAAAGTTGGAGGACTAAAGCGCAAATACTCAAAAGATGTGCCGAACGAGTGGCATGAGATTTGATGGTGTCAATCATCAATTGGAAGATAAAATTGGTTGAAAAGATGAAGAAATCGAAGAAAGAAGTCAAGAGAAGCAACAAGGAAGTTCATGGACCAAAATGTAAAAATCACATAGTTGGTTATATCTATGCGACCGCATAGTGTAACCATCTATGCGGTCGCATAGATGGATGCAGGGAAAATAATGGGGCATTTCAAATGACCTATGCGACCGCATAGGATCCTTCTATGCGGTCGCATAGAAGTAAATGTCGGGGCGTTTCTGCAGTTTCCTTTTTCGACTCCAACTCTTATTTTACTTAATTTGGACACGCTATGTATATCCTAAAACACGTCCAGAACTAGTGTAGACGGTTTTGGGAGAAAAGAGGCGCACAATAACATCAAGATACAAGAATTTATGCAAGAAGGAGGATTTCATCAAGATTGAAGATTTCAAGCATCAATTATAATAGGGTGATGTCTTCTCCTTTATTCAATTTTTGTAATTTTCTTCAAAACATGATAGGCTAATTTTTTATTTCATTGGGAGTCGATGAACCTTTGATTTTCTTATAAATTCTTATATTTCATGAGTTTAATATAAATTGTCTTTGGAATAAATTGTTTGATTTATATTGTTTTGATTGAATCCATGATTTATTGGCCATTTATTATGTGATTGTGATGGTTTATTCTTTACATTCGAAAGAAGTAGAATAGACTCGATATATATAAATTGACATAGGGTCCGATGGGGGATAGAAATATACCCCTATGCTTTATGCAGTTCGGTAATTGTTCGTAGAATTTCATGCGTTTTTGTATGTTACATCATCCATAGAAATATAGGTTGATGAGATGCAGAAATAGATCTAATATATATCGAGAGAGTATATTAGATAGGCGTAGAAACATTGAATTGACAATTTTCCATTGATTAATTGGATTTGTGAAATTAGGGTTTATAAAAATCAAATGGGGATTCGATATCCCAATGATTTTATTTCAACTTATTTCTACAATTTCATTTACAACATTGCATATTTACATTTTAATTGAGTTGTTGAGTCATTTAATTAGTGAAATTTCGAAATTAGGGTTTCCAATTTTGAAATTAGGGTTTTCTTCAAAATTAGGGTTTTTAATTGGGGATTTCTTCCAAAATTAGGGCTTTCACATTTAAACCAAATTTTCATTCAATTAGATTCGGTTAAGGTCACATTAGTCTAATTAGAGCTAGTTCAATCCTCGTGGAAACGATACTTGGATTCATAGTCCATTTTACTATTTGTTAACGAACTGTACAATTGCGGTGGATTTTAAAATTGAAACAAATAAATACGCGAACAGAGCAGCTGTCGACCGATTTCCTTCCTGGGCGATTTTTGTTTGGGACGTTGAGCTGCTGGGGATTTTGAGGGAAAAGTAATACAATAATTGGATTTTATTTAATATGTCTTCCACTTTATGCCCTACACATGCAAGCCCATTCCAACATGTTATTCATTTTTTAATTGCATGGCCACGTGAAAATTTTTAGATCCCTATCCAAGCCGTGTTCCCATTCCTGTGCGCCAAGCATTATTGAATTTTCGACTTATTCGAGAATGAATTTCTCTGGAAGCAATAATGAGCACATAAAATACATCTTAAATGACACGTGATAGTGAGAAAAACATGACGGGTTCATATGAAATTTAGTTGATTGAAATTGGGTCAATTTTATTTCTTTATTTATTTACCACGCCACCAGTTCGTGGCAAATTAGTTTAGCCTCTGTTTGACTCTCATTATTTAAGGGTCCGTTTGATTGTAAAAATGAAATTTGAATGGAAAGAAAACGAATTGAAGGGAATTGAATTGTCCAGAATTTGTTTTAGTGGGAATTGTTAATTAATAGTGTTTCATTAGTATAATTTTCCACATGAAAAATGTTAAAATAAAAATACCTTTTGATATACGTTTGCCTTTGTTTTTTTATGAAAATTGTCAATTTAAGGCATATCCACTTTTACAATTGTTCATAGAATTTGTTTCCATTGCAAAAAAAAGAAAAAAAAATCCAAAAATCATCTATATTTTGTTGTTCGTTCGATTTTGTTTTACATGAAAATTGTCAGTTTAAGGGACATCATCTTTTACAATTGTTCCTAAAATTTATTCTCATGGCCCCCAAAAAAATAAAAAAATTTGACTCGTGTGAGGAAAACATGGAAAATGAATTCCATAAAAAAGAAGTGCAATCAAACACCAAATATGTTGGAAATTTCCATTTTCCATGGAATTCACACCCAATCAAACAAGGCCTAAGATTATGATTTTTGAAATATTTTTTTTTTTTAAATTTGTGGTTAAAAAGGAAAAAAGTTTTGAATTTTCTTATAATATTATTTTATTGAAAAACGTATAGTTGGTTATAAGAGAGAAAAATTGATTATAATTTTAATTGTGGCCAAACGGGAGGCATTATGAAAAACTGCAATTGTGTTTGTATGCATGATTTGGGTTCGTGTGCACTATTTTCTCATAAACAACACAAGAACTTGTATCAATCTAGCCACATTATATCCATTTTTCCCCTTTAAATTGATCAACCCATCAAAAATCATGCTGAAAATTACTAATCCAGAAACCAAGAATCAAATAAACTGATACAATATACTAGTCTGATCAGATCAGGTCATCCTGAAGAAGTCTGATGATTTGAATCCGGCTTTGAAATTTCAGCTCCACTTCTTCGATTATCCTCTGGACCAACATTGCCCTGCGGAATAACCGGAAAAAACACTGGAAAAGAAGTAGACAACGACGAGGGTGAAGATGAAAACATTAACTGATCCCATAAACTCCCTGCAGGCTGCATTGGAATATCATCAAGATTCATCAGAACTTGTGAGCTGGAGTTCATATTCTCCACGGGATATTGAACTTGATGAGTGTGAACAATTGGCTCAGTTAAAGTAGAAACTGAAACAATATTATTAGGTGCTGGTGATTGGATTAGCTGCAGGAGCCTAACATTTTCTGGGAAGTTTAGTTTTGCTTTGTTGCCTCTAAATTTAAGGGCAGCTTCATCATATGCCCTAGCAGCACCCTCTGCCGTGTCAAATGTGCCTAACCAGACCCTAGAAGCTTTATGGGGATCCCTTATTTCTGCAGCCCATTTGCCCCATGGCCTCTGTCTAACTCCTCTGTATTTTCTTGTTCCATGGGATTCTGTATTGTCATTTGTGGGAGTGCAATATGTATATACTGCTTCTGTTGATGTTATGATGTTTCTTCCTGTGCTTGGACCTTCTGCACCTGTTTATCATGCACATTCATGTCAAAGACTTGAACTAGATCAAAGTTCTCAAGCCAAGACGATTTCGCTACATTGTGCTTGGCTCGAAGATTAGATTGCTCTCTACTTATCTTTTTCTTCTTTTTTGAGTTCGTGCAAGCTGGTAACGCATCGCGATCATGTATGTTTGATCTATTTTACTTGCTAGGACTATTCTATGTTATTATGGGCTTTGCTACACGTACACACAGGTGTACACACTGAGGGACATGATGTACAAGTGACATTTTGTCACTGGCAGGTGAAAAAAATGGCTTTCACCCGTCAATGACAGAATGTTACCCGTGCATCATGTCACACAATGTGTATACTTAAGTGTACAAGTAGAACAATTCTTAATGAAAAGTTGAGTATTATGTATATAACAATGGAAAAACACTAATTTCTGATACGTGAGAGAACGTGTTGAAGATAAAATTCGATGTTAGAGAGTTGCAAAGTTTTATCATTACCAGATGCTATTTCAGAACCTCCAATGGTAAAATCATTATAAGCCCTGTAAACTCTCGCAACTGATCCAGAAACATGCTCATGACTGCTGCTATTCTCTTCCCTTTTTCTCTTATTATCTCCAACACCCAAAGAACATGCAGATGAAGAAGAACCATCACTCACTATCGCTCGGCCACCTCGATCTCCACCATCTGGAGGCTGCGCAACCTCTTGGCTTACATTACCCGCCACCATGTGGGTCAAAGCTGACACCATTGCTGACATCTCTTCTTCTCTGTTAAATCCCGGATGTAATGACTCCAACCAATCTATGCTCTGAGAATTGTTTGGTCTTGAATTCGCCACCTTGAACACGCACATGTGGATTCAAAAAGTACAAAATATTAACAAATAAATGATATTAGATAATTTTTAAGATTTGAACGGAATTAGAACAAGAACAATGTTCATTCAAGAATGTTGGCAAGAATTTCTCGAACTGAACGTTACATATATATAAGCAAGTAGGGGGTTGAATTTTTTTAGTATATTATAGAATTAATTAATCATAGCAACCACCGACTCTAAACAGTCGACATCAAGCTTCCACACCGTGAACAAAAATATGGATTCTAACTTCTTTTTCGTGGGTACTTATGAAAATTGACTTATAAGTTGGATTGATCTGCTGAAACAAGTGGGGTAGGAGGTGGCGGAGGAGTGGAGAAACAGTGGATGCACGTTGGGGTAGGGTGGGGTGGGTTGGGGTAGGTGGTCAAAGGTTCAGGTGTGAAATGTGACTTAACACGGTTTCGGGTTTATAAGTCGGTGGGGAGGTGATGGGTTGTGACATCTTTTGCTCGGATTCTTTCATATTGCTAGAGTTTTAAATTTGTTTATTAACATTTTAAGACGTAAAAATTCGATAATGTTTCTTAATGCGAATTTTTTATAGAATAATCTAATATAACATTGTGTATATAGTATAAAATGTCACTAGAATGAGTAATGTTATTTGTAATCGCTCACTGCGGTAGTCGTCCTACGTGACATACATATGGCAGGTGATTATTTGATGCATTAATGTAGTAGTTTTTTTATTTATTAATACACCAAATAACTACATACCACATGTATGTCACATAGGACGACTGCTGTAGTGAGCAACTGCAAATAACATTATTCGACTAGAATACGTATTTGATACTGATAATATTTTACGATTTCTAATTCCAATTATTAACGAATGGTGAATCCATAGATTTGTTGGCCCGTTATTACAAAAGACAATACCCTTAAGATCGACAATCAATCGTCAGTAGTCTTAACTATTCTTGCCAATTGTCGGTTGTTAGTTCCAAGCATTGATAATACATCACAAAACATCTAATTACTAGTTCGCGTCTTTTGCGTATCAGGAACCATATTTGATCATTAGATTTGAATCTATTATCTTGATTTAGCTATCTTACTACTAAATTTTCGACAAGCAAAGAGTTCGAGACAACAAATTTGTATTTAAATCCTACGTAATACGGTGGCATAATCGGTCAAAGTCAAAACATAGTAGACCGGTGGCTGTACATTAATTAACGGCGGTATTAACTATTATACTTTCTTTATTTAGGTAAACTTATCTTATTTGGTCACAGTGACGGTGTTGAAATAATTTAGTTAACGTTGACTTTAGTCAAAAGCTTTTTTAAAATGTCATTTGTATAAACAAATGCAAATTGTACACCATAAATAAATAGTTAAATAAAATACAAACACGTGCAACAACTTTTGTTCCTTTAAATTTATTTATTAACTTAAATACGTAATAATAGGTATGAAATTGATTTTTTTCTAAAGTCGAAATAACAAAAAAATAATTGATATTTTAAAGTTGAAATAACCAAATTGGAACAGAAAATGGCAGGGCACATATAGTGTTCGGGGTCATGTTTTTGACCTTTTAGGTTTTTAACCAGCAATTGATGAATAAAAAAAATAAAAAAAAATTTGCAAAATGTACGGAGAAATTCATCCGAACCATCTCCTTTCTTTGGACGAGTAGAAAAAATTCGGGATGGACTAATACGCAAAATAATAATAATAAAAATAAAATCACACTTCAAAAAAATTGTTTACTTAATTATTTTTTTATTTAACATTTGGGCTGGAGGGAGGGACTCTAACACAACCCTGCTCATCCCGAGATCCGCCCCTGAACTTTTCATGAGGATGAAGAGGGATCGGTGAGCTAGTTCTTGAGCAGAAAGAAGCAAGGGGCGGCATGGGAATTGAGATAAGGGATGGATAAGTTTTCTTGCTCTTATAACAAAAATGAGCGATCTTTCTTACTTCTTGTCCAGACGCTATAAATACTGAATCTTTTCTAAAAGGATAAAAAAAACATTACTTTGCATAATAGATTATATATTTATTTTATTTATTAAAAGTCAAAGAAATTCACGTCCAATCAAATAACCAACTTTGGAAAGGTTGACTTTCTTTTTCTTCTTATTATTTTTTCCCCCCAACAACTTTCATGACTCATCCCCAGCAAGAATCAGTCAGGCGATCTAATCTCTACCTCTCTATTCTCTATTTGTTTTCAACACATGTTTCTTATGCCCATACTGTTGATTGTAAAATATATTGTCCATGAGAATAGATAAAAATAATATTTTGGATATGTTAAAATAAACAAATATAATAATTAGATACGGTCAACAAAAAATCGTCAATTCATTTTCAGATGGTACGCGATGCAAAAACCCTTTTCCTTGGATTAGTCTTAATTAAGATTGAGATAAAACTTAAGTAAAAAAAAAAAAAAAATTTGTCTCTTTTTTCTTTTAAATAGGATAGTTTAGAATACATAAAGGTTTAAATACAAATCTCAACATATTCATTTATGAATATTGTGCACATATTAAAATTTTGAAATACTGAAAATGTCAAGGCTCATGAAACGCGTAAAAAGCACGATGCAAGTGTGGTGATGGAATGGTACAAGCCTAGTAGCATGGGAAGCCATCATCTCTCCCGTCTTGCCTAATAATAGCGTCCATGTCCTAAGAAATTGTATGTTTGTATCTTTAGGCTAAGGCAGTGAATTGACTAAGTCTTGCATGTTTCAAAATAATAATGTCTTTAGTATGTTAGATTAGTTTGTATACAATAGGTTTTAAGAATAAATTGAAATTAAAATTTCGTTTGGCCCAAGTTTAAAGTGTATGGCTGTAATACTTTAATGAAATCACGACTTGGTGCCCGTTTGACACACATTATTTTATTTTATGGTTTGTTTCAGTATCATTTTCAACCACAAATTCATACAATAAAATATTCTACACGTATACCAAAAACTTTTCCTAACTTTATAACTACACATTCTATTAAAAATCACTATTCAAGATTTTTTTTTCTACAATAATGTTTATTAGACCCGCTATTAGTTTTGTGCTAGAATTACATTTAATTTTTTATTTTTATCGTGTCACATTAAAACATTGTTATATAACCATCAATATGCAATGATTTCATTTAAAAAGATATATTTAATTTCTTGTCATTGCATAGTTTGTTGGTTTTACTTTTCAGTTTGTTATCAACTATCGCGACGGAAAATAATTATCTTCATATCCTAGGTAGAGGACCGCCAATACAAAAATATGGTACAAATTTCAAAGTTAAGTGGAGAAGAATTATTTTCATATTTTAGGTAGAGGTCCGCTAATGCACGTGGTACAAATTTCAAAGTTAAGTGGAGAAGAATTATTTTCATCTTTTAGGTAGAGGACCGCTAATGCGTGTGGTACAAATATTTGATTCCACAAATTTAGCTCTTCTTGATAACTATACATTCTATTCATTGTATTTGTTAGTATTTCTTTTTGAAAATATCAATCTTTCTTTTGCTTTCAGTTGACACGCGTGCTTCACTTCCGAATAAGGAAATTTAGTCTTGCCAAGAGTCTAGTTATTAGTTTGGTCCAAAGAGAGCAACATCATTTGTGTGCCCACTCTAGGGACTCAAAACATCACAACCATGCATAGATACGCATTGATTGCTCAAGTAATTCTAGGATATTAGGCAAAATTATTAAGTGGGACTTTAAAAAAAATAATTAACCATTATCAATTATTTCTGTCAATAATTGTTGATAGTATTACAAATTGATGATTTAAACAAAATTATCGACTATAATGTTATTAGTGATGCTATCGGAAAACACCAATGATACTTCAATCACAAAGGAAAAACCATCAATATTTGCCAATAATGTAACAATTAATAAATTTGGTTAAAAAATTAATATATGTTGATCATTCAACCAAAATCACCAACAAAATCGTAACTATGACTAGCATCAATGCATTATATATTTTTTTCAATTAACTTATAAACAAAAATTTCCACTATATATATTTGTAGTATTACTAACGATTTTTTTTTTTAAATCTTTAATTATCGTTTAAATGATATTAATTAACAATAAAAAAATTTCAAAAGAAAAAGCAAAAGCAAAAATATTTAAAGTTGTAGGTATTTCAATAAATCAAATATCTTAGGCGACCACCTTTCTCGTATAATACTAAAGTCGGCTCATAAATATAGCTTACACATTCTTATGCCTCTTGAACTAAGGTAATATTTACTTTATTGCTCCCATAAAATCTTATTTTTGCTTATTTTCATAGAAGTAATACTAATCAAAATTGCTCATCGCGATTGTTGTCCTACATGACAGTGTGTGATTTGATACATTAATATAATAAGTTTTTTTGTCCCATGCATTAAATTACCAACTACTAGATGAATGACGTGTAAGACAATTATAATGCTGAACGACTGCAAATAGTATTATTCTTTTGATAAGCTCAATCAACCCATTTTGATACCAATGTTAAGAAAAATACTTCTAGTTTTAACCTAGAAGGTCGATGTTCAAGAACTAAGCAGGCTGCATTCCCAAAGGAATTTCCTTTCTTGAAATGCTATGAATAACATCCATAGAAACGAAAAACATTCTCACAGGTTGTATAGATTGAATTACATCCCATTTCTCATAACCTTAGATAGAAACACATAGCAGAAGAAAGAAAGCGAAAAACTAAAATTGGAACACGAAACTAATACCTAAAAGTTTCTTTTAAAGTGAATCGACTATGACCTATACAGTAAGTTACACTTATGTAAGCATCAGATCATCAAACTTTTTCAAGATCGTGAAGCACAAATGTAAGTATAATATCCCACGGACTGACAATAGCTCTCAATGCAGTACACTGAAGCATCTAGAGAAGGAATCCTCAGTAAGCAGCAAAGGATAAAATCTTTTGATATATTTGAAGCTTTTGTAAGTTTGGTGCCCTTTATTCGAGTAGTGCTTTGTAAAATCACATTATGAATTGACGTTCGTTTATTTGAGGTTACAATTTGAAGCGATTATCAAAGGTTCCATGATCATAAAGGATGTCAAAAATTGTATACTTGATGGTTTGGGTATAGTAAGACACAATTCGTGATGCAATCAAAATTATGTCGTTCACAATCAGTACATAAAGTTGGACGCTTTATGTTGATAAGATTATATAGTTCTTATTAAGATTTGTCTAAATCTTGGAAAAAGAACAATAATGTGTTTCGATGCACATTGAACGGGACCGTGTAGATGACTCATTTATGACCCATTCGAAATGAGATTCTACTAGATTATCAAACAAATTACCTAAATCCTGAATGAATAACGTACCTTTGATTGTTAGTTCAAGTTCCTTGAGGTACCAATGAGTGCAGTCTTAAATAGAAGATTGATCTCGGTACCTTGGGAATCGATCTAAAATAATTAGAGATCGCATACTTACGATAATGGAATCCATTAATCATTGAGATGAGACAATCATCACTCTAAGGTATTTTCCTAGGCAAATTGAACCTAAGCTCAACAGTCTAACAATGAGACCATTGGGCTCTACATTGTGATTTGATCACAACGAAATTGCCGTATGAAAATGAAATTTAGAGGGTAATACATGTCGAAAGACAAAACGGTCATTTTGCCAATTTCAATATATTGGCGGTCAAATGGAGGTTGACTTGTAGAATGATAATCAGAGGATATTGTTATTGGATTATAATTTGCTTCTATAACTATCACTTGACTCGAGATTTGCAATCTCGATTTTTTGATAGAATAAGCCAAGATTAATAGATGTATCTTAATTGGTCAAGAGTTGACCCAATCAAAAACATCTATTGGAGTTTGGGTCATGTGAGTTTGGTTAGGTCCCTCTCTTGGCTTCAATAAAAAGTGTGTGACTTAATTGGTCTACTATATAGAGGAGTTCAAGGAATTTTTTTGTGCAATTTCAAAACCCTAATTGAGCATTATAAATATACCCATTTTGGACATATGTTTACCAAAGTTAGGGTTAGCTACTTTTCATTTTCCCAAAAAAAGAGAACACACCTAAAGGAGAACAAGAGAGAAGATCTAAAGGAGGAAGCATTTGACTAGACCATTAAAAGCACCTTCAAAGGTTATCATCTTCCCAATCTATGTGTGAGGATTTAATAATCCAATGATCTCAAGGTTATCAAAAATCCTTATTAACATGGTTTTAATCTTAAAAGAAAAGTTAATTTCATATTGTGATGATTAAATCCATTAACCAAAAAATGGTATCAGAGCCAAGGTTATTATAAGCCTTGAGTAGGATTAAGATCTTTAAACCCTAGTATAAAATGCATTTTTAGCATGGGTGGTTTTAGGTTATTTGATTTGAGATGTTTATGCTTCAAATGTTTAAAGTTATTGTTAATATATTCATAATCACTTTTGGCCCTAGATTTTTCATTTCACTTCCTATTGTAATTCATTTGTTGTTGTTATTCTCACTAGAAAAGTTGTAAGCCATAAGTTACTAAGTCCCCCCCCCCCCCCCCTTTTT